GGTTATTTAGTTTATTATGGAGGATAGATAACTGGATTACGCCAAATCTGATACATAACGAACATTGAGGTCATTGTGGATGATTTTATTTGAAACAAAATAAGGAGCATTGAGGATTTTACGAAGGATTTTGGATTGTAAGGATTGGATACGAGAGGAATTTGAAGGTTTGGTGGAGCCCCATAGCTCAACTCCGTAAGTCCAAATAAGCCTTATTATAGTCATTTAAACGAGTCTTTTGTAATTAATTGGAAGGTTAGAGCGTTTGTCTAATAAGTATTGAAGTAGTCGGAAACGTCGAGCTGTTTCTTGTCGTTTCAGTCTGATATGAGGATTCCAAGTTAGACGTTTGTCCAGGTGGAGTCCTAGGTAACGGATGTGTTCAACAGGAATAAGTGAGGTGTTGTTAAAGGATACTGAAGGACAGGAAGTCATTGGTTTACGACCCATTTGATTTAAAATGGAAATTCTCTCCTCCTTTTCGAACTGAAGAAATATTGTTGCAACAGCCGTGATATTCATTCACGAGGATATTGAAACCTATAAACTGATAAACATATCTTGCTCTATTTATCTTCAAAAAACGTAAAGCCTAGCCTAGGGTAGAAAAATCTTCTCGAATGCTGTAAATAGATAGAGTAAAGTAAAGTCTTTCAAAATTTGTTTTATTTATTTGTTTTTTGTTGTAAATATCAACCAAACGTTTTTCACATACGTAGGTATGAGTATTTCAAAAAACGTATTCCATAAAGCTTAGTCCACACTAGTAGGTTTTTGGCTCTAAGACATGTCGCAGTTTGTCTACGTAGACATGTTTAAAGAAAAATTCGGTCTCGCGTCTGTAGCTTTTGCGAGACCGAAATTCACAGGCCTAAGTCTCCTGATCGTGTCTCTCGACGGTCTATAGACAAATAGCGCAACAATGTCTACTAGTATGTACTAGGCTTAACAGACCAAAACATACAGGACATTCATTCTTCTTCATAGTTAAATGTAGGCAACATAAATGATTACTTTCCATCATGTTTATAGTAGTTTTAAATAATCTGGTGGTTAATGTGAACTAAAAAGATTTATCAGATTTTTAATGAGTTTGTTGTATTGCCTTAAATTTAAGTTCTTTACTTTTTTTTTTTTTTTATTAAAGTAAACATCTTCAGTATACTCCAGTTATCATAAAGACCGTCCATTTTCACTCAATTTTCTCTATCTTAAATATTTAATAATTTAATCTATGTTCAATTTATCGAACAAAAATTTAATTGATAAAATTACAATACAAAAAATTTTACCTCCATAACCTGTATATGATATTAAAATCAAACTTGGGAGACTGGTTAAACAGTGAGAGAGGTTGACAGGCAATCCCCCTCCACCATTATGTGCCTTCCTTCCTCTTTCTCCGGGCCAACCGCTTCTATTCTGGTATAGATAGATTGCCAGCCCTTACTGCCACTACCAATAAATAACCAATATTCGCAAATATACATTTATTTGCGTTGAAAATTGATATTTATTAATTTTAGGAATTTAAATTTCCGAAAATATGAACTCAATATATTAAAGAGGGGTCCTGATTGTAATTTTACTGCTGCTACATTCCAGGTTGTCATGAAAATAATGCAAGATTTCATGTCTCCTTTGCAATAGCCTCTATTTACCAAATACTTCTTTGAGGGACTTCACTTTTGTATTGTTGTCAATGACCCCCAAAAAGACGTATTTATCTTGTGCAATATTTCCTAGTAAGAAATAATTCAGTCTTCACTGAGATGCCTTTTTTCCCCTGATTTCGATTAACGAATCTAAACTCGGTCAGATCAGGATCCAAAAGCCCAGAAACATAAATGAAGTCTAGGGCAATGTCAATGTGAGTGAGTGCACCACTCAACGTTGATTTAAAAATTTTGAGAGGGAGCCTTCAGCCTTGAAGACAACGAAGGTCTTCTTCATTTGATGACAAAGTTCTGCAAGCTTTATTCGAGGGAAGTCCCAGAGCACCTGTTTAAGATGCAAGATCTTCGGCAGAACTCTGTTTGAAAATCGGCCGTTGCTGAACACCTTAACAATTGGAGAGATATAAAAGCTTGAAACGTGTAGGAGTGTTTGTGTTTGTGTGTGCGTGCGTATACGCATGTATGAATATTGAGTTATACAAGGTACCCAATGTTTTATTATTTTATCTCCATCTATTCATGTGTTTAACCGAAACCTAATAATAACCTATTAACTCAGATTAATCATTTTAAATGTTATTTGTTAAAAGTCTCGATAGAAATTTATTGCCTTCTACATTAAGTGGAAATCTTAAGTGGATTGTACTTTAACATCACTGCTATATATCTTCAACGAAGGATTGGTCGTTAGTGGGAAAGGTATTCGTGTTTCAATATATATAAACGTAATTACAATTAATAGATAACAACAAATAAAAGACAATCACCAACTAATCGAAAAAAAAAAGATTTTTTTTCTGTTGCTTCTCATAGTGTCATCAATTAATGAAAAAACTAATGTCAAATTATTTCCCAAACTGAGAGTAGTCATTTTGAGACCACTTTTGTTAATTGCCTCTGATCACGACAAGAGGGCCCTTCATCAAATCAGGTCAATTTAACAAATTATCTTAGACCTGAATGCAATAATTTTTTTTTTTCATATTGGATGTCAACTAACCTTTCAAATAGCCATTTAGAACAAATTAGTGGAAAATTTCTTTTCCGTCAACAATAGAATGTTCAATCTCAATGGTTTCTATTAAAAAAGGTTGATAACTAAAACTTTCGTTAACATCATGAAAAATCTTGAACCCATTTCGGATCTAAGAATGCTGAATTGAAAAACTGTGAGACCAGTGTAATAGCTAAAAAAACTATTTTTCATTTAACTTGTCATTTTTTTGTCACATAATTTTGGCAATTTTTCTTCCACCTACCTATATATGCAATATAGAGCAAAGAAAAGTATTGCAATCGTGAAATGTTTCAATCCAAGTTTTTAACGAAAATAAAATTTTCGGTGTAAATATGTATTGGATATTATATACCCAAGTTCAGGCTTTTCACGAGAAATCTGATTTTACATTTTAATAATTTATACATTTTTTTAAAATTTGCCCAGTAACAAGCAATTATTTTCTAGCATTCCTTTAATTTATATTTCTTTAAATATTTAGAACCCGTGTACTTTTTTCATTTATAATTCATTGTTTTAAATTAATATTTTACACCCTATATAATTTGTACTTTCACTTATCTGCATATGAAAATATGTATTTCTATTCATATTTCAGTGATAATTGAACGCCATGTGATGCGCGTACCGTACCGGACGTTTTCCAATTTTTATGCAGCAACACCAAAACTGTGCACTTGTGAAAGATAAGCTTGTCAGATTAACGTTTAATTACGATAAAATTTTCTAATATTTTATACTTATATGGCTTTATACAAACATTTCTTTGTAAAATCTTTTAAAATTAACCATCTTTCCCAAAAAGTTGAAAATATTCCTTTCTTCTATTTTATGAAAACGGCATCAGTGTAGTAGCGAGTCATCAGTTAATTAAAGTAGTAATTATATCCAGTATGCATTTACTGAATATTGTCTGTGTGTAACAATGTCACGAATTGAGGAATCGGATGGGATAATTCGGAAATGGAATAAATTACCGGAAAAGTATTGAATCACAGTGACGAAAATTGGTAGACACCATGAATGATCTTATATTTGAATGAATAAAAATGAGCAAATTATAAAAGTAACAAAGATTTTCATAATACATTTATTTAATTTGCGTTTGTGCAACAAAATTGCAAATCGGGAATGTTTTGTAGTAATTTTAAAGTTTAACTAGAAAATAAAAATAATAATGTAAAAAATAAAAAAATAGTGTAAAAAAATTAATGTTTTCATATTATGAGATTCGCTGGTTTTCCGCTTTCCGTTTTGGATAAACTTACCAAACAGCCTACTTGTATTCAACCAGTCCGCATCCATTACTGAGTGCGTCTGGTACTCACAAGATCTTAATACTACAAAAATATTTAAAATTTGATAAATATTATTCACTGAAGAAATGTTTTACTAAATATTATGGACCCTCCAATAATTGAGAGAGAACGACGCACGTGTTTGTATGGTTTATTGATCAAACCATAATAAGTTATTCTGTAGTAAATTTCTGTGAAATATTGGAAAGTCAGGAAAACTTTGGACCTCTTCATAAAATATTTGGGAAAGAGGGAGACCGAAAATGCCTTGCCTTCCCCTCTTTCTCACTCCTCTCTCCCACCCGCTCGTGCCGTCCTCTTTGTTTGGACTTTGGAGGCTGCTCAGTGTAGAATGTTCAGGTTTGAAGGGTGTAGGTTAAACTATCACGATGTCAACAACTAATAAAATAATTTATTATTTTAATATGTATTTTTAAAGCAAATGAAACTTTTTTTTTTCCTATGCCATAGTCATTGGTCATTCGACCACCCGACATCTTGCTGCCCAATATAAGTTTGATTTTTGTATGTAATCATTTACACATGTAAATGAAACGTAGAGATATTATGAATTATTCTTCAATAAACATTTATATGTTCCTTTAAATTCTTAAATGTGGGTGGTGATTGATGATATTGATGTTGAGTAATACAGAAGGGAAGGCCTCAATCGACCACAACCCTAACAAGGCTATCTATTGTGCTCTGAGTGCCCTTTAATAGTTCTCATTTCGTACAACAGTCTTGTTCTGAAATTGTCTCTCAGTCGGTCGCATATTTATTATAAAACCAAAATAAAATAAATTTTCTCCGTTTAAGCCGTTTCGAGAAAATTGCAAAAATCTGTGAAATCGATTATATAAAGTGGCACTTCCAGCTAGTCGGTTTAATTGTAATAAACTAAAATGAAAACATAGATAACTAGAAAACTTACCTTATTTAATTGATTCAACATTCTCTTGAACATCATTGGTGAGCTATTGGCTGTTTATGTAAGCAAAAAATAAATTTAAAGAACAGTAACAAGAAAACAGTTTATTATCAACAAGTTGCTTTACGCGTTAGGACGGTAATAAGTGTATTTTAAAAATATCCAGTAACTAAAACAAAAGTTTACATCATAAAAAATCCACACTGTACCAAGAGCTCTTAACTCAGCTAAAAAATAGACATTAATATTCTATTTGACACATTTAAACTACACCCATAGTGCAGGTATTAAAATCTTTGGTTGTACATATAATTATTATAAATTTCGTCACAATTTATTCCGCAATTAAATTACTAACATAATTACAGCATTCAAATTACTATCATACTTTAAATCGAAAACTTATAATCTCAAACACTTAATTACTTTCAGAAATCGAAAGTTTGACATAATACATAAGAATTTTTCTTAATAATTGTAGAATACTTATTCTCAATAAGACTTTCTTATCTTAGAACAAGAAATAGCAACATACGTTCACGAGCCTTCCATAATTCAAAAATACTATTACTATACAACAAATTATTTGTTAACAATACAGAAAATACTTTTTTTCTTAATATCTTTCATTCAGCTATTACGCCAAAAAGGAATGTTAAAAATCAGTTAACCTTTGCTTCTTTACAAGAACAAGTTTTTAAAACTTAATAGCTTAATTTCAAATACATTGGCCTAAACCACGGAGAATTGCAATAAGATGGAATGTGACGTGGTTTAATATTGAAATTTTCGTCATACTCCCAAAAAGAAAATGATGAAGACTGCCGTCGCCACTACAACGACGGACGATGATGCGAAGTTCGCCGATGAGTGTAAGACGGAATCTTCCGATACGAATCGAAGGCGATTCTCCACTGCCGGATAGACCGGCTGTCGCTTTACCATATAGCTCCGCACAGCCTCCAAGTCATTCCAATCTGGGGAGAAAAATAAACAGGAGAATGATAAGTTAAATATATATATATATATATAAAACCTTTGCTAGCTGTTAGCAAGCTATAATCTAGCTAGCTGTTAATAGATAAACGATTAATGGAAGAACAATAATTATAACAATATTTGTCTTTATCTATTAACAGCTAGCTAGATATATGCTAAACAATTCGAAAAATTAATATATTTAACATAAGTCCTCTTAACAGATATATAATCTCTGGCCAAAGTGGCCGATTCGGTCACCAGTATTATTCAACAAAATCATTGAGTTACGGACTGTAATTAGAGATGTAGCTCAGGCTTTTGATAAAGTCTGGCACCTGAGGCTTTATTTCTATTTAAACTCAAGACCATACTATCTTGTAGTGTACTTTCCTTCTACAATAGTATACTCTACTAAAGACCAAAGACAATCGTAATTGATTGGTTAATGTGGACTTACGGAGCAACTCTGTCTGAACTCCAGGAGCTGTTTGGAACTGTAAAAACTGGTCTCCACCTTGGACTAAGTACTCTGTGACGAGGATGCTGTAGGTGTCGTTGAGCCTGAGTGGACTGTAGGTTGGGACGCTGCAGGCGCCACAAAGCGTTTCCACGGAGACCACTTTAGATCCAGGTTCTTTTGTGAGGTCGTATGTGACACGAAGGCCTGAAAAAAAGTGATTCATCAAAAAAAAAAAAAAAAAAAAAAGGTTGCAATAACATTATTATCAACCAGGTTGCCAATGTTATTTCTTTAAGATAATTTTTTTTTTATTACGGCCCAAATTCGATCAATAAAATTATTTAATGTTAGAAAATGATAATATTTATTGCGAAACATATTGCTTCAAATAAGAGTTGGGCTTTATTTTAAATGGAATATTTTGAAATACATTTTTGTAAAAAAATAATTAAAGATGTAAATTATAATATACATTGTTTGTATCAATATTTTCTTTTTAAAATAAAAACTACAAAAAAAAGTATTGGTATTTCTTATCAAAGATGGAAAAAACAATAAAAATGTTTACATTATTATTTAAATCCACAGTATAAATTACCGAACTGAGGAAGATTTATAGCAAGGCTGTTTATATGAGAATTTCTCCCTCCCTTCCCGTAAAACAGAGCTTATAAATTGTTTAAAGCTGATTTTGTTAAATTTGTAACACATTAATCTTTGTAGCCGGCAATTTTCCTAACAATCCAATAAGGTGTTTAACTAGATACGCATGTACATTTCTTTATGATGGTTAGGGTATACGTAGTCGCTTTTTTTTATATTGAATTTCTTTTTAAATTCAATCATATTCGGATATTTAAAAAGTAACAATAGGTAAATAGATCCTTTCTTAACCTGCGGGTAGGATCATGGTCACAGGAGGCACCCTTTGCTTTCAATGCAATACTCATTTTTTCTACAGTTTAACGAATATTTTCTCCATTTAAATTAACAAATTAAATTTTTATATTCATAAAAAGGTACTTTTTTATAGCATTATTTTTAATAAATACTAAATGAGAGGATCGGTAAAAAAGAAATTAAATAAGTACACGCATTTAAAATTTATTATAAAATACATACAATAATGATAATCATAATTACAATAGAAAACATGTATAGTGTATTTATACGTATAATCTTATAATCTAATCAAATCATTTGACTATTAGTTTTCTACACTTTCGACTTTCCTTATCACATTTTAAACATGTAGTTATTGTTTTATCATGCACTTAAGAGAAAACTTCAAGCATCTTCCACATTAATAGGATAAAATAATTAACTTGTATATTTGTGTCATTTGAAATATTTGTTAGAATTGGCTTGATCCTCACTATATTTTTTTATTTATTTTTTGATGGATGATGGATTTTTATACCAGTGAGTGATACTATCATAACCTCTAACAGTACTGTTTCAATATAAAAATTTGTCCATCACTATCGCTCAACTCTTGTTCACTAACACTCAAGTGATTATTATTTTCGACTCGTTCCTCACTAAAATCACTGTCACTGTCTAAGAAAATGACCTTTTCGTGGAAAAAAGACAAATAAACTCTAATGAGGTCAAGTTCAGGCAACATACGATATAATTTGGTAGTGGCCTATATTTTTTAGGCAACTAATGAGTCATATAAATTATGAAAACCAACTCATCCTTTCTGCTGGCACATGGCAAATCTTACTTGGCTTTAGAGCCCACTCCACCAGTCCAGTTTTTTTGTTTTTCCTTCTATGAAGTCTTGGCCAGCAATGAGAAAGAGACTTGTTCTTGGGTAGACAACTGCCGGTTATCTCTGTTTACGCAACCTATCACTAGGTAGGTCACTTTCTGGCAAATTTATTTAATTTGTTCCTTGTCCCTCCTTGTCATTATCACAGAGTTCTTGAAGATCTTTGGACGTGTCATCATCTCAAACTACTTAATTCTGTTTTGATTTTCTTCAATGAAAAAAAAAGAATGTGAATACCAATATAACTTATCTTTGCTATTTTGTAATAAGAATAACATAAAATCTATCACGCAATCTATCAATTTCTAATTTTAAATGAAATTTTCTCACAACTGTATATAAGTTAATTATAATTTTGATCCACCTGATATTTTAATTTTAAATTTTAACCAATATCAAATAGTTTACCTGATACTTGGAGAAAGCTCCCTGCGCCAATCTGTCGCGCGCTTGTCTCCAGGACATCCTTGAGAACCTCGCCGCTAAGTGTTACCCTTGATATCGGGTTGTCAAACGGTATTATGGTGATTAAATCTCCTTCCGAAATTCTCCCTGAGCAAATAGAATTAAACTTATGAATATTTATATAAAGGAAAAAAGTCAAAGTATACATATTTTGCAAATTATTCTTACTTCATAAGAACATATATTCAAATTAGTACGGAATTAGTTTCAGTAGATTTTATTACGTATTGTTATTCATAATTAATGATTACAAACAATTACAAGTACAAGTATAATTACAAATTAATGAAGAATCGTTATATTTTATTATTACTAAATCTTCCGAGGATCAAAAATATGACATATTTCTGTACCCTGGAGGTAAAGAACGCCATTTTCATTTTTCAATTAAATAATTTAGTAACTAAGAAACAAATTTTAACGCTCAAAGCTATGGAAAATTGGCTCATTGTAAAAATACTAAAAGCTGTCGTAGTTGTTCTGCTTTATCTCCGGGGTACGGATTTAATAATTAAGAAACAAATTTTAATAGCTCTGAACAAATACTAAAATGGAAATGGTGTTCTTTAGTTTCCGGATACAGATTTAAAGAAATTGATAAAGAGTGATTCAGTGGTTTACGCGGTTGAAGGTTACACGGGAAAAACGGCGTATGCATATATATGTATAGATATAATATGTTTCCGATAGCAGAAAAAAAAAAGTTCTCACTTTTAAATAAAAGTATGATATGATTCAATAAAGTAATTCTAAATTTTTAACAATTAGCATCATAATGAGAACAATAAAGTATTGAAACTTTGTCAAAATTTATTTATTTATTTATTGGCTTAATCTTAAGGATATGTAAATATTTGCCAAAAGATTTCGAATTGAGTTGCGGTAAATCTCTAATGCAACAGGTATACTGAATACACTCACATTGATCAATCATTACACTTATTGAGCATGGTTAAGATATATCGAAGTTCATTTAGGTGTTTTAAAGATTCTTCTATCTTTGAATTATTTAAATTAAACAAAAAACAATCATCCATTCACCTCATAAAAAATAAATTCTCATGTTACAGTAAATCGACCGTGCCTGATTGGTGATGATATAAAATATCTTAAATGCTACACAGAAGGGCTGAGTAATAGATAGCACATAATGGGTACACAAGCAAACAAATCTTTCACACTTGAGAAATTTGGTTCTGCATTATAAAAGCAGTAGTCATAAAAAAATAAAATTAAAAAGTCAATAACAAGTCATTAACAACTGTGTTTATTGGAGATTAAAATCCTTATGAATACAAAACAGGTCGTAATAATTAATGTCGTTATTAGGGTTTTATCAAAATGCAAATTTATTTTAAAATTGTGCTAGTTGGTCCCTAATAAGAATTTTGTTAATATTAATTATTCCTACTACGCACTGTGATAACCCTGGTATGGAACATATAAAAATAACATATTAAATTACAAAATATAGTTAAAAGTTTGAAAATACTACTGCAAATATATATTAATATTTGATATACGGCATATATAATACGAATAATTAAAATTACCCGATAGTAATTTTTGTAGGAACAATAAATAGTACAGTTTTTTTTCACATATTATTGTTTTGTAGTAAATATCATTAAAAATTATTTTATTCTCCTATTAATTGACGGCAACTTTGATTTCATTTTTAATTTTCCTTTTTTTATTCAATAATGAACTAAATTACGTATACAGAACGCTAAAATTTTTAAATCCATATTAATTGATATTGACAAAATTTAAAACTATTATTGAAATTTTTTTAAAATTTAAATTTTAGCTGTTTCTGTGAAACGTTTTAGGAGAAAAAAAGTTTTAAGGAACTTTTTTAATAATCTTTTTGGTCTAACTTTTATTTATGTTAGCTATGTAAAAAAACGTTACGTTAAATAAAAAATAAACAGCAATCTGGGTTAAATATAACCCAGATAGATATACAGATTTAACTTATTTTAAATTAATTACATGATTCATCTGGGTCCTTTATTTGTCAAGCTTAGAATCAACTTTTTGGCGATATTAATTGCTTCAAAAGAATTTTAATAAATATTATATATTATTTTTAAATGAAGGTTCAGTAAAAAAAAGAGAAGAAAGTCTAGCTCCGAAATAGTAGAAAAATATTTATGTAAATATTTCGGTCGTACCAAAACTGAATTTAAAATAAAAGTTAATTAAAGTTATGAACTTTTTTTGTTGCTTTTTTTGTCTATACAGCAAGAATAGTCTATAAGTAATTTCACACACAGATGAAATTCCTATAAAACAACATACCAACCCCTGAGGAAAAATAATCAGCAAATGAGATGACCTTACCTCTAGATTCCATCAATGGCACGGAAGTCCGAATCGAACCACCGTTCATGATGCCTATGGGTGCGTTGGTCCAACCAGCATGATGTGAGGTCTCGGTCTGTGCGTGCTACAAAAAAATTTTTTTTTTAATATTAATTATAAAAATTTGATAAATGCCGAAATGAGAATTATATGACTTTGTTTAACATCAAATGGCTTTGGAAAAATTATTTTAAAAATATTTATTAAATATAAATATGAGCGTAGATTATACAGCCAATAAGAACTGTTAGAAGACCTTCAGCAGAAGAGATGATAATGATCAGGTTCCTAAAAATATCTAAAGCACTTCCATTTTATAATATATATCATTCGTCCAAGAATTAAAAATTAATATTCGAAATTGTTGGTCTCCATTTGTTGGAAATAGTCAATTATCAAAATCAATAGCCCTTTTATACGAATCTGCCTAATATTTTAAGAATGAAACCAAGTATACGTTGAAAGTACTTTGATGAACTTCAGGTTTGAATCATTTTTTCAAAGCCGAATTCCGATCTATAATCGAAGTTATTGGTATTCTGTTTGATAACACATTCATACTTGATACTTACATAGTCGACAAGAGCATCGGAGATGAAATTGCCGAGATTGCATTCCTTCGACCTGCAATCCCCACAAGATCGACCAGGCTGCTTCCCACTTCCTCGTCCAGAGTTACCGTCATGTTTTGCTTCCAGTGCAAGACTTCCGCTACCAGTTTGGGATCTAAATAAGGAAATAAACAAATATATGAACTAAAATAAGCCAAAAACTACATTATGAATTGAACAATCCAAGCTATAAAGCCATCAATATCCATCAAGTGAACAGTTCATTAGCCAACGTTTCGCTAATTCAGGCATCATCAGGGCAGAAATAAACAAAATCACATATACGCAGAAAAAAAGGGGAAAATAAATTGCTATTAACATTTCATCAAGCCATCCAAAAACATACTGAAGGAAACCAGGAGAGAGAGGTTATATAACATAGCTGATCCACTAAGTTCTACTACATACTGATTCACTATGTTTTATACACCTTTGAGCTATTTTTTGTATTTATTTTTAATTATTATTTATTTAATTTTATAAACTCATTTTTGTATTATTATATCTCAAGTATGTGTAATATTTATTCCTGTATTCCTGCTTCTCGAAAAATCGCATATAACCTTCCTCTTCTGTTTACCTTCAGTATGTTTTTGGATGGCTTGATAAGATGTCAGAAGCAATTTTTCTCTCTCTTTCTTTCTGCATACATATGTGATGTTGTTTTTTCTTTCATGATGATGCCTGAATTGGCGATAAGTTGGCAAGCTAATAGTCGACTTGTATGTTAAAAACTTATGTTTAAATTGCGTTAAAAATGGTATAGATACAAATAAATGATATACAATAAAATTATATATCACTACAGATATAGATGGAGGAAAAAAATCAGCCTTGTGGCTCTTTGTGGCAGCTTCTGTTGGCTAACGTAAGGTTGCCAGATTAACTCTCCTTGAATAAGGTGGGTCAGATCCGAAACATGAATGTGAATAAAACTGTTCTGGTACAGGCAGTGGCTCCATTAACATCAATGAGAGCTTAACTAATTTTACTCTAACAAGGAGAGGCTACGGACGTGGGGTCGACTGGTTTCAATAAACTTTTTTATTGTGATTAGATCGAAAAATGCTTGACCCATGTCTGAGGTTTTTGCCAATGCGCCTTATGAACCAAAACAAAAATAATATGTAGCTTCAAAATTGATGTTATTAATTTTTACCTTTGCTTTTTCGAATATTTAGGTTATATCTTAAATATAAAAATATTTAGATCATATTCTTATCGATATTATATTATTAATAACACTAATGTAATTTTCTATAACTTACGTTTACTCTATTTTAGGTTATTCTATTCATATTCTATTCATATTTATTGTATTTATATTGTTTTTCTGTATAATTTATTTTATTTATTGTACATAGAATATGGATGTGATCTCTAAACACTATTATACTTGTATTTTGAGACATATTGTAAATTTTTTTCAATAAATAAGTTTTTAAAAAAAATTACACTAATGACTTTTTTTTGTCTATAAAAATGTATTTGTGTCTGTCAACTTATTGTTGACAATCAGCAAATGTGATGGCGGTACATGAAATAATGACATGACAGGCATGGGGAAGGAAATTACTCAACAGTACCTCTTCCCTAACTTACTCTCCTCCTCATGCTCTGATTTATGTCAGCTGTGGCCATGTCTCTTATTAGTCTGTTATTATGTCCGTTTAAATTAGTGTAAAATCGTTGATAAAGGGTCGTTATATGTTGGTCAACTGATGGAAGGTGGAGATCAGTATGTAAAGTTTTGTTAGTCACATACCAAGGTGCTTTTGTTATGGGTCACAATAATTTTGATTGGAATGTTTGTAGGTGGGTCTTTTTATCGATACCGTATATTTGTGATGAATACGTCCATATGGGTTGAAGTAAGGATGTATATGTATTTAGTTTCTGTTTTAGTTTTAGTTTTGAAGATTTAGAAAAACGAGAGTAAAGTAGTTTGAGTCGTTTGTTACGTGTCTTACGTTTCATTTTAACATGCGGACTCCATGTCATCCTGTCGAAGGTGAGTCCAAGGTAAAGTACCGTGTCCGTTTGAGGAATTTGATTGTTATCAATATAAACTGGAGGGCAGGTGTTTTTTCGAAGAGTAAATATTGTATGTTTGGATTTGTCATGATCAAGTCGAATTTTCCATAGTATAATTTAAGTAAATGATGTAGAGTTACTGAGGCCTGTGTAGGATCTTCATGTTTTGTGAGGATTGTTGTATCGCCTGCCTAAGTAGCTGTCAAGATCTCATCGTTAATAGGTATATCCTAAGTGTATACACCGTAAAGTAGAGGGGCTAGTATTGAACCTTTGGAAACTCCTGCCAAGATTGGATGAGCTGAAGATATTTCCGAGCCCTGCCGAACTGAAAAAAATCTGCCGAAGAGGAAAGATTGAAGGATAAGATAGTACGTGTATGGTAGTATAGTCTTAAGTTTAAAGAGAAGACCTTGGTGCCAGACTCTTAACTATGACTTAACTTTCTTATTTATCCCACATATGACCATGTTCTTAACCAAGTTTCAGCAAGGAAATTATTTTTATAACAATGGCCAAGCTAAAAATAAAATTTTAATAAGAGATTTTAGCTTTAAGCAAAAAAAAAAACAAAAAAACTTTCAAATGGAGCACGATTTTTTTTCATGGATAAATGAATCCTGTGTACCAGCCAAGCAAAATGATCGTGTCCTAGTCACGAAAATGTTACAAAAAGTTATTGTATGCTCGCCTTGTTCGTGGAAACTAAAGAAATGTAGGAAAAATTTTATAAAAGTAATTATTTTATGTGACATTACCTATATTTTATAAATTTGATTTCTCAAGAATTCAAATTTAATTTACCATAAATAGAGTTGGGTCAGATACGACCCATCTTATTAACTGTTTACTAGAATTTCGCCTTGTTGACTGAGATTTAATTTAGCGGTACAACATAAAAATAAATATTAACATATTGAGATGAGACTCGAACACTACCTCCTGTAATTTTCTCGTGACAGAGTATCTGTTTGTTAAGGACACAAATTTTCTTTCACAATAAAAAAAAAAAAAATGATCTATCACCATTTCAATGTTAAATTAATTAAAAAAATTCTTCACCATTTCAAAAATGTTTCAATATCTTGTGAATACATTAATTTCAATTATTTTATAATTTTTTTTAGTATCTTAAATTATTTTGAAGGGTTAGCAGGGTATGGTAGTAATGAAAGAAGGGAAATAAATATTATTAGAGGAGGTTGGAGGGGCCCATGAAAAGGATGGAGGAATGATAAAAATGCATGTCATATCCTAAGAATTCTGGGATGCAGTTTATTGGCTGTTGGGGAATCTCGTTCTACATCAGCGTCTGCTGAAAATTTAATCAACTTAGGCCCCTCCCCATCTTGTAGTCATTTCCCGTATCTGAACCGTTTCTAGTACTGCAATACTAATAAACTTTTATTTTTATCGATCATTATTATTTTTATTTATCTTTTCTTTTAAGTTCAACAAAATCATTAAATGGAAAATTATTCTTGTCAAAATATTTATTTATAATGCGCCGAACATAATATCATTTTCCAAGCTGAGTTAAAAAATATCCTTACAAAACCAAAAAAAATAAATAAAATAAAATTAGGCGGTTAAAAACGATTTTTTTTTGCTTCATAGCAAAGCATTTCTTAACAAACCCTATTTTTTTGTCGGAAATGAAAGATAATTATTTCTAAATAACATATATTCCAGATAGATCTACAGATAGATGAGAATTAAATATCAATAATGGCTTAAATCATTTAACATAATTTTGTAGATTAATTGCATTTATTGCAAAAGTACATTTTTAATATAACTGAACTTTAATAATGTTTTTGTTAATTTCGACTATATTTATCGATAAAAAAAAAAGACAGTCGGTGAACTAAAATGCCACAGGCTCTTCTATATATCAAATATAGTTATTATAAGTATACAAATTTCAGGTTCATAAATGTAAAGTTTATCAAATTTCTTAGTGATTTAAGATTTTGAAGTGTCAATTAATGATTCTTTGCTATAAACCGACAACATATTATATATTTATCTTTTTTTATTATATTGAAGCTAAAAGTTTGGTAATAATATATTCGCAAATACGGTTATAATAATAATAATAATACGTTTATATCAGAAATGGTGTTCCTTACGTAATGAAATAATTCGTATTCATAGTAGTTTATATATATATTTTTTCAATATTATTTTTACGGGGCATAAAATTAAAAATATTCTACTTACCTACTTTCTTATTCTATTTCTACTTATTTATTTGTATGTCTTGATTCGTCTTAAATTTTCATTTAGTCTTATGCGTCAGAAAACAAATATAGTAATAATATATCTTTTAACACCTTATTATAACTCTAGTATTTCTAAAATGGCGGATTTATATCTATGAATTAATGATAGCACACAATGATATTAAACATGGAATAGAAAAAAAAAAGAGACTTCATTCTGGGAATAAATATTGTTGAAAGATTATTGTTATTCTTGAGTGACTTAAGAATAACAATAAATACAAATTATGATCTATTCTGGCAAATTAAAATAAATAACAATGTATTTACATAATTATAAAAAAAAGGGATAATAAATATATTAGAAACTTATGAGAAAAGGTGACTTAAGCTACTTAACACGTTAGCTGCGGGACGGTCCCCGGCGTCCTGTAGATTTATATCATATATAATGAATATTTACGTTTGTATCTATCTTTACATCTATCCTTCTCCCATTCAAATATTTAAAAAAATGACCATTTTAGAGACTTCATAAGACATGCAGAAGTCGAGATGAATAACGGAACACGGGGACCGTTAACGCAACTATCGTGTTGAATATAATAATATAAAAAAGGTAATTAAAATAATCATATAAGCAACGAATCTTCACTTTAAAAAAAGTTCTGTAATTAAAAAAATCTTTGATTAAATAAACACGATTGTTTGCAAATGTGATGAATAAATGAACTTGTACCAAATGAATCTGTACAAAGTAATATGAAATGTGTATCCATATTTCTTAAAAAAAATGTATAAAGAAAAATAAAATCTTATTATAAAATAAATATATAGCCAGGTTCTGATTGAGTTGTGAAGAAGAAACATATTGTCTATTGAGTGACTTCCTTTAAACCCTTTAAATGTACGCCCCTAAAAGGAAGACCCCAATAACACCCTTTAGCTAAAAGCGAGTTCTAAGTAATGTAACTTATTAGTCTAACTAATAGGCTCATTGCTTATGCAGGCTGGAGAGCAGGTGTGTCCTTGCGTGAAACTGATGTGTTGCGATTTGTCCCTGGTTAACTCTTCCAAAGTTTGCACAAGTGCGTAACTGTTGTATTGTTAGAACGACAGACAAATAATACTGAAGCTATTTATTTAATTAATTATGGCAAATATACGTATCATTTTGAAAACAATAATATTTAGGATTTGATTGCAATAACGGAACTATCAACAACACAAATTTGAAATTACCTTGAGGTTTCGAAGAATCCAATAGGATGGGATTGCCACTGGATGAGACTAGATTGTATTGATCATCGAATTCCAAGACCAAATGTCCGAGATATTTGGTGTACCCGTATGCCTGTACTACAGGTACTTTCTTTCCTGATGCTTGTGTCACCACGTGAGGATATGTCGATTCTGGGACTTCGATGTCTGGAGGCGTGCCTTTAAAATTAAACAAAGAAAATTTAATACATTGAACAAAACCACAATAGATGTTAAAAAATATAACAAGCTTTAAATTAAAGAAAAATGACTTTTTTGAAAGTAGTCTATAATGAAACATTTGTATCCAACTCTAAAATATAAAAGTCAAACGAAAAAATACATCATAATTAGCACGTTCTTAATAAATATACAGGACTTTCCAGAAAATATATTTAATTTCGAACCAAAAAAAAATGGCGTAAAACTGAACTGCAGTAGAATCCAAGTGATAAAGAATCTATATAAGACTGAGATTGCGATTTTAAATAATAAACAAAGGTTCATATTTAGCTAAAATGAATAACTTTGCGTCTTTCAGATGTAGAGGAGACAGAGAGTGTGGCTTTTGTAAATGTAATGTGGCATATATCACAATCACGATACTGTCAAAGTGCCTCTATGCTTTAACTTATCAGCATTGATTTATAAAAGTTGATATAATACTTTTTAAACTAAATATTTTTATTCAGAATCGAAGGAAAAAATACATATCTTAAAAAATTTATAAATAAAAAAAATAAAAAAATGCATAGAGAACCCGAAAGTTCGATACTGACACAACCAATCGCTTATTATACACCTCCCTCCACCGTTCGCCGTCGAAACCCAGTCCTTTCAAATCGGCTTTAAGGCAATCTTCTCACCTTCGCATCGATCTACGTTTACTATTCGATACAGCGAATATTAACCTTTTACTAATTCTTTCGTTACTAAGTCCAACAATTTTACAAGCTCATTTGATTCGCCGTGATGTAATCACCTCATTGATTACATAGTTATATTAACCTGATACAGTTTACGCAATTCGACGTTGTGTAACCTTCTAAATTCTCCGGTTAACTCATCCTTCTTCGGTCCCAATATTCTACGCAATACATTATTTTTAAAAACCTTAAGACGTTGCTCATCCCTTAAAGTAAGGAGCCACGTTTCGTATTCAGAAAGAACTGTAGGTAGGATAATGGTTTTATAGATTCTAGTCTTAAAATTCCAGGACAAGATACGCGAGCTAAGTAGTTTTGTCACAGAAAAATAACAAGCATTTCCCTCCTTCAGCCTAACCTTAACCTCAATTCAATTTCGTTTTTTCTAGTTATCGTAGACCCTAGATACTTAAACTTCTTTATCCGTTCAAACATATTACCTTCTTTATCGATATCACAAACAATATCGCCATTTTTGCAGATAAACATATATTTTGTCTTATCCGTGTTTATTTCGATCCATAGTTCTTTACTGACTTTCATCAAATGTCGTATTTAGTTTTATAGTTTCCATGTCTGATGGAATATTATACAGTTTCTGGCGGTCAATAGAATCGTAAGCCTTTTTAAAATGTATATATAGCTGGTGAACAATACCGTTGTACTCCAATTTTTTTCTCTAATATTTGCCGTAAAGAAAATATTTGATCAATAGTCGAACGATTCCGTCTAAATCCGCATTGGTAGTCTCCGATAATTTCCTCGTCGTATCAGTGATTCGACTTGTTAAGATTTAAATGTATAATTTATAAGATACCGGAAGGAGTGAAATTCCCCGATATTTATTACAATACGTCCTCGAATCCTTTTTGTGAATCGGAATAATAATAGATTTTTTCCATTCTTCAGATAACTTCTGATTCCTGTATTTAAAATACTGTCAAAGTGGTTCTTCAACTTCTTTAATATGTCTACCGGATCGGTCAGGATATTGTTATTTTCATTCCTAATTCCAGACGTGATGAGGCTTAAACATTTATGTTATGTGTTTATATCTTTGTACATGCCTCTTACGTTATTTACAATTCTGTTAGTTTTTATTTTAATTTTTTTATTTTTAAGATACTCCTTTTTTTTATTTTTGAGCAATTTTGTTGTTACATTCTTTGGGATTCGGAAGTATTCCAGATTGTCTTCGCTAGGATTATTTAGAGCTTATTGTTTAGCGGGTTTTCCCTTTTTGCACATGTTTAAGCAATCTTCATCAAACCACGGTTTATGATGCATGACCTTATGTAGTGATAAAGTCGTTTATATATATACAATTAATAATCTATTCTTAAAATTGTAAAACATTATATGAAAGAATAAAATAGAAATTTACTCTTAATAGATTTAATTATTATACGGTGAAATCTAAAATAATAATGTCTATTACATCTATGCATATTTAAGTTATGGGTTTGATTACTTCAGTTACTTTTTTATATATATAAATTTAATTTTAGTATTATTATTTTGCTTTTTAATTCATTTTTTATAATTGTAGATAGAGCATGAACGAGCTACTTCATGACTGTTACTAGTATCCCTGAATTTGGCAAAATAATTATTTAATAATAAATAATAAAGAAATGTGTTTAAAAAAATATATTTTATAAAAGCAGATTTGAAATAAATAAGTAATAATTTTATTTATTTTTTTAGTTACTCCTTTTTCGTCAACGAGTTCACTGATTACTTTTCTAAATGTCATTCCCTTGGTTGGTATTTTACGAATTAAATTTCCGAAGCAAATAAAAATATAATGAAAAGTATTAAAGCAAAATATTTTAAATTTGATTAAATTTAAAAGGTGATAAAGTTCGGGTTTTATAACAAATCGGAAACAAGCTAGTAGAACTATATAGTACTAAAAAACAAATAAAAAGAGTTGTTGAAAAAATTCCAGAGCGGGCTTTTCCGCCCAGTGAATTAATAAGCTCTTGGATTTTATAGGCAAATACCATCAACATTCCTCCATCTCAAAACAGTCTAAAGCGGATTATAGAGGGTGCAAACAGGAATTCTAATCATGGCCGAAATTTAAAAGCCGCCAGTGTGTATGGTACAGCATCATCAAGAAGCATTCCACGTAAAGGGCAAAAGTAACACATGCATTTATTACTATAGAATATGATGACAAATATCTTGATAGAAGGAGCTTAAACTGCATATAGAAAATTATATAGAAAATTTAAACTTTTCATATTTCGTTTATTTGGCTATAGTATCTCCTGAAAAAAACTCAAACCTGTTTTTATATCGCTAATTTTTAAAAATTTAAACATTTGTAATATAACTAACGTAATATTTCGGCAACGATGACTTAACTGCAGTAGATTTAAAATAAGATTTCTAAATAACCTCTTAGCAATCGAGTTATGAAAAAAATAAATCAGTAAACTTGAATTTTTTAAGTTCTTTTCACTTCATAGTCTTGAAGAAAATATAAGAACAATTTCATGTTTTATTTATTTTCTAAATTGAATTCCCTAAATTAAATGATTCCTGTGTCAATATATATATTTTTATTTTTATTTAAACTCACCATTGATTGAAATCAAGAAAAAAATAGTTATATTTAATAATTATTATAATTAATGTTTTTATGAATTCTATCCACAAATCATTAACTTTTAAATGTAAAAAGTACCTATTGTACCACGTGATTTCGTTTACGGTAATGACATTTCATCATTTGAAAAGATAAAAACACATAACCTCTAATTACAGTAAAGTGTTACGGTAATGGCAAATAGAAAAGCACTAACTGTTTTTTTCTCTGATTACTGCCAATAACGACAAGAGATATAACTGTTGTAATACATATTTTAAGGCATTGATCTTATCCACAGGGTAACCAATGATTTTGTTTTGTGAAATATGATCTTTTTAATTATTTCTTTTCAGCAGCCGTTTAATCTAGGATAATAACTGTACACAAATCGGACATTTATTTTCACTAAAATCCGATAGTATAAAAGCAGTGATACTATAGCCTTAATGAAATTGTTAAATAATAGTTAATTTTTCCGTGAAAAGTCAAAATTTGGCTTTCAATTAATTAGGAAAGGAACGAGGCTTAAATAAAATGATCAAATTCATAAAAACAAAAGGTTTTTGAATTTAATTTAGTAAGATCTAAAAATCGAAAGTTAATATGTGTTTGATCTGTGAACTCTATTACAAATGTCCTATAGACAGATTGTAATATTTTCAATAAATAAGTTTTTAAAAAAATATATATGTGTCTGTTTCAAGATATCTTAATCTAATTATTCTTTTCTTAATTTTCTAGTTAAAAATAAATCTTTTTTTATACACAATTACAACCTCTACTGTTATGTACCCTTTATGAAGGTAATGTTTCTAGGCAAACGGATATGCAAAAGGATAATGTAGTAATATTCTCCTTTAAACCGGCAGGTATTTCATTGATAAATGACTAGAGAGCAACTTCATAGAGATTGAATCTTCTTCTGGATACCTCACATCAAAAAGATTACCCAGTTATGGGTATTAAATTCTAACCAACACTTCCACTTAAGCACGCGTAAACGCATTTTTGTAGATGTGCTAATATTTCAGAAACGGCTCGTTCGATTTGGCTCAAAGTTGTATAAAGCATGGGTATCTGTGAAAAAATAATGTTGGATCAATTTTATTGATTTCTGTTCCTTGCTTTCTCTTATATAAGCGCAAACGTGTTTTCCTTGCTACGTCGATATCTCTAAAACCGCAAGTTCGATGTGGCTCAAATTTGGAGGGAATTTAGGGATTGATAAACGTATAATGAAATAGGAATCAATTTTATCAAATTGAGCTGGCACTATATATATTTCGCCACAGGCAAATGCAAGGCCGGATCTATTAGTAAACATTGAAGTGTCTATTGATGATATATGTGTATATCATCAATAACAAACTATTAACAAAAAATTGCAAATTTCAAGTGGATAAAAAAATCATTCTATTATTACTACCCAGTAAGTTTACAGCCGAGCACGGATTACATTTGAGTAGGTAGGATTATTTTTTTCTAAATGAACTTTTTTTTTTCAATGTTACTATATTTCCTCGACTGCAATAGGTGACAGAGGAACACAAACCCACGCAAACACGAATTTTAAATAAAAAAATATATAAGAGGGAAGATTTAATGCCACGTTGATAGAATTGAGGTTCTGTCGGCTGGTAATTATAAATTTATTCTGAGTATGAACGTTTTCGACAGCTAATTAATGCGTTGTCATCATCAGGGTATTCTTGTCTACCGTGTTACACCATCCAATCGGTAAATAAAATGTAATGTTCGTCATTTTGAATTTGTTGATTTGTGTCGGCGCTTATTTTTTTGCGTGGTAAAAAGTATCAGCAACACTCCCTCAAAAATAAAACACTTTCGATGTAAATTTTATATCCACTAACTGTTATATCAATCTACAAAATTTAACTTTGCCGTTAACATAGTAGCCCTTTGTATGTTGAGTAGTTGCATTTTGAAGATATTTTATAATTAATTGATATTCATGAATTATAGTTATTTTTCTAGGTGAATATATTTACTCATTAAACGAACAATTATGTTACATCGATATTCAGTAAAAACGGATGAATTGTAGTTATTTATATTCGGATTTCCACCATTTTTTATTCATAACATGATGAAATAGTCCAAGTGCAATAACGGAGAAGCTGTAGTTTTCTAGCCCTGTTCCTTTCCAGGTGTTGGACGAAAAACCTGTGGTGCTATAGTCTGTAGCGCCTAAACGAATGTACCGATTTCAATGAAACTTGGCTAAAGTCTTATTCTCGATGATCTTTAAATTTTTCTATATAACACAAGAAGCTGGAAAAAAAGTTACGATTTAAAAAAGTTTAGGTGATGAAATTAGATTTTCGAATATCTCAAAAAGTATATAATTTGTTGTGGATATTGTATGGTTATTTAAAAGTTTACGAAATTTCTTTAAAAACAAGAAAAAAATTGTTAATACTGGAAAATTTGGATCAAAGATATTGTCTCTAGATATTTTTATATGTTCTACTGTCATGGTTTTAACCTTTGTTTTGGTTTGATTTTTGATAATGTAACTAAAGTAATGCTATTGTTTTAGTAAATTACTAATGATGTAATAAAAAAATGTTTAGGCCAATAATAGGAATCACCTTTTATTTCTTATTCTTTGTTACTTAGGAAGGTAATGCTACTTTAGATGTATAATTGTTTGGAAATAATAAACCATTGTTATATACCTATATAATTTGCAGGGTTTTTTAAAAATGTTTTTATTCAATTGTGCGTCATTGATTAGTCTGTTCTTTCATTATAGAATTTTATTCAGATAAATATTTATGGTAATGTAAGTTAACCCTTAGACTGATATTTTCAGGATAAACAAGTGTTAATGTTTTGTATTTTCTAATTTTGAAACTGAGTGAAAACCATGTTCTGTGACGATTTATATTTTTATTAAATAAAATCGTAAAATGAATTTGTTTGGACAACTTTAGTTTATGTTTTGTTTATAGGAAACATCAGTATGTCTGCAATAAACCTACTTAATTTATTCAAAACGGTTTTTCAAACTTGTAAATAATAGGATTTATTCTCTCTTCACAAATTTACCAAGTACCAGCTCACATCAAAACGAACATAAAACAACAAGAACCGGCGATAGAACAATATTATTTCCAGATTCGTTTGGGACAGGTTAGTAAACCTCCCAGTGAAGAGAAGGAAAATTACCTAACTTTGCAATATCAGCAATTTCACGGCCACTTAAGAAGTTTACAGTACGATAGAGCGAATCTCAGACCAACGCTAATATAACGGTATTTTATCTTGGCAGCTATAAATAACGAATACATAATTTTAATATTCAGTAAAGATAATAATTTTCTTCTGAAATTATTATTCGTATCTATTATCTATTTAATAATTTAAACAGCAATTAATACTAAATATACGGTCTTAAATGACTTGGTAATAAAACAACCTTCAAAGTACCTTTTTAAAAATGTCGTTATTTATTATATAATATATATATTTATTATATATAAGGGATTAAGGTCATTTTAATATATAAAATGAAATATTTGTAAAATCAGTATTTAATATTTGATATTTTCGGGCTTTACACGTTTCACTTGTACCAGATCATTATATATAATTTCACCGAAATATTATATTTTAAAATTTAATTCTCAGTTTTTATACTATAGTAAAGGACACTTATCCAGTTTAATTTAACGTTTAGAGATTCTTTTTTACAAAGGTGGGCAATTTATCCTTTTTCATCCTTAATGCTTTTTATTTTTTAGATACTTAAATTGACCCGATTATACTCTGAAAGCGAAATATTTAACTTGACCCGGGAGACAATGTTGATGAAATAAATTTAGTGCAAACACTCAATTATTGTTTAGGAATACAATAAACGATTCGAGAGGCAGAAGTAAAATTTATTTAATGTTTGATATGATATTGTGCCCAGCAGAATATATGAAGTTCAATAAATATTATTACAGTCATATCGCATAAATGTTTCATTTACTTCTAAAAAAACTTCAATCAATTCGATAGTTTTATACTTTTTCACTACTGTATTTGTTGACGATTAAAAATCAATAACATTGATTCATTTATAATAGAATCTTCTTTAATGTAATTTATGTTTATTTCTATAAATATCCTTACTTACATAGGCATTTTTTGGCCTAAATCACAAAAAAATGTTTTATATAATGTAAAAAAAAAATTATATTATATTCCTCAATGGAACCTTTATATTGAACTGTTCTATACTATGTCTAAGATAAACATTTATAAATATAATTTTTCAAGTAAGATTATCTATCTATCTATACTATCTATCTATCTATCTATACTAAAAAACATAGTAGTAGTTTATCTTAACTCAAATAAATAGTAGAAGCATAGTAAAACCAAGAAAAGGCAGGACAAATGCTTTAAAGAAAACTAATTTTATTTGTAAATAACTCATAAAAAAAAATTAACCACACACGCATAAACGGATAAACATTTTATTTGTTTAATATCATTCATAAATAAAAATAAATATCTGCGCAAGGCTTAAGAAATCCCTATGGCTTTTTTTTTTTTAATGAATACCATACTTTCGGAATATTTCAGAAACTCATTTGAAAGATAATTGAAGAATTTGGCTTTAAAAAAAAGAAGGTATAAAACATCGTGATTTTGACTTGATAATCGTATAACTTTCATTAAAGTTAGTTTAAGTTAAACTGCGGTGTTATATGATTTGGTTAGCTGGGGTAGTGAGCACTAAAATTTAAACAATGATCTATGTTACAGCTGTCTTGAGTTTATTTTCATTTATGTTCCTCACATTTACTGCAGCTATTAACATTTATAGTAGTTGTTTACATTTATTGTAGCTAGTACAAACCTTGCTGAACCAACTACCCCTTTTTAGACTGTAATATTTTTTTTTTATTATTATTACCTTAATGGATTTTTAACGGTTTTGTAACTTTCATTGTTATTATAAATAATTATAAAACTTTCAAACAAAAAATTAAGGGATTATCTTAACTTGAAGCCAACTTTGATTAATCTTCAGTATATTTAAAAATTTTAATAGACATTTAGCCAAATCCTTCAATTACATTGACTAAACACAAACCTAGAATAGAGTAGATGAAATATTGTAATTTTTTTTTTTTTTTTTGCATCCTGTTAAGGAAAGTCATTTAAATTATTATGTATCTTTATTCAATGTGATTTAAAAAACGCATGCTAATCTCTCATATTTTATTTATCGTTGCTAACAATCATTATTACTTCTTTTGTATTTTTTTTCAATCTTCATAAAATCTAATGACGAGCTATAATTCTAAAGACTATTTTCAACTTCAGTGGCGAAAAATAACCACATTCCTAAGTAAATATTACGCTTATTAGAATTTTAATGCATGTTTTGGTTTGTCTTTTTCAATAATAGGTCAAAAAAAGGATTTCCTCCCTCACATTATTTCTAGCATTTATATATTTATAAATTATATTACCATATAATATTATATGGAATATATAATTGGCTGACCAGAAGCAGTCCCAGAATGTAATTTTAGAGGAGCTTTCTTTTTTTTGTTTTTATGACAATTAATATGGTAGAAAAAGTCCAACAAAAAAAAAAAAAAAAAAAAAAAAAAAACTAGCTCCATAAAATGGTGTTAATGTGGTCGCTTAGATGTTCAAAATAATGTAATTACGAGAACAATAATGCTTCTAGTGATAATTTTTCTTGACATATGTTTAATAGTTAAATAGACAATATAATTGATTAAGTATTTACTGTAGATCACTCATAAACTAGTAAGAACGAATTTAAAAACAATTTTCTATTTAGAGCTGGGTTTAGCTTGAAAATTTCCTCTCCCCCCCCCTTAGATTTTCGCATCTCTGCCAGTGCCACTGAACGATATACCAGGCGATCCAATAAGTAATGTCGGTTTTTAAAAATCTGTTTGTTTATGTTGATATTATTAATTCCTGCTTTACTATTAAATTATGTTTACATATTTGTTTTATTATAGCATTATGTACTCTTACATTTATCGTGGTTTTGTTTAGAAATTTACTTATTCTCTACTAAAATTTCAATTAAAATGGATTTCCCAAAAACTTTTTAAACTTTGGGAACTTGTTAAATCCTGGATAAACAACGAAAACTGTCGCAAAAGAAGACTTCATCCCAAAAAAGTAATCATGTCTGTTCGGTGGTATATGAAAGGAATCCTTCATCATGAATTTCCTGATCTTTACCAAAATATCTCCAAAGATCCTTACTCTGATCAGCTGGATCGATTGAAGCAGGCAAGTGAGGAAAAAAATATGAAAATTTGAGGCTCCATGATGCAACACAATCATCATACGAGAAATTATTCGTAATGGAAAATTCCACTATTCCGCCATATTCCCCTGACTTAGACCCCTGACTTTCGGATTATCATCTTTTTCGCAGTCTCCAAAACTGATTAAACGGTATGAACAAGAATTCAGTCATATATCTGATAACTCATGTATATACCTGATACTATGAATGAATCATTGGCAATAACAAACTAGTTAGGTATTACGTACAATAAATTTGTATTATATTTCAATATCCATTAAATTCGAAAAGTCTCTTTTGTTAATTACCTGTGTAAAGAAAGGTGTCTGAGTGTCCTCCAACGACCACATCTACATCCGGAACGTTCTTGGCGATTTCCTTGTCCATAGTGAAACCGGAATGCCCTAAGGCTATGACTATCTTCGCCCCTTGCTCCTTTGCCTCTTTTGAAAGGTTCCGAAGTACAGGTATCTCATCAAAGAACTTGACGGGTCTTGGCCGTGCCAGATACTAAACGTCAAGAAATATTTTTAAGCATTAAATCTAAGGATAGTTCCTAATGTTAGAAATGATATTGAGGAATACAGACACTGGTCTGGGGAGTGAGGTAGCCAATGATTGAGACGTTGACGCCTGCGACCATGAGGTTCCAGGAGCTGTGGAGGTTGCCCTGGGCCAGGCCTGGAGTTGCTGAGAGGTCGAGATTGGCGGCCACCGAAGGTGTCTTAACAGTCTTCAGGAACGGCTCGAGACCTTCCACCCCGTCGTCGAACTCGTGGTTACCCAACGACTGTAACAGATTCCAATCATTAGGTATTCTATAATCAAACTTAGTAAGTAATAGTATAAGGCGTTTTTATAAGGAAAATATATTTGTTCAACCAATAACAAATACGCCTAAGGATATTACCATCTTGGAAAATTTATTTATTTACCATTATGGTGTCATGTACCACTGCATAAGACTATAGCACCATTCCTTTGTTACATTTCACAATTGCTTAAAAACTTTGATTTCTTTTAAATCTTTTATAATTTGGTCCTTAAATTTATTGTCATTTTCAATCAGATCATCGTTTCATAATCTTCCTCTGGTTTCTTGATTTAGTTTGATTTGGTTTAACAATTAGTTTAGCCGGCAACTAGTTCACATTGCTGGAGATTTTCCTTCTATTAGGTAGCTTTGAGTTAGCCTACCTTTATTATTACTAATAATAAATAAAAATATGTACTAATCATCCTCTTAGACGTTATTTTTTCGAATTTAATCTAATAACACACTAAATCTTAAAAAAAGATTCCTTGAAAGGTTTTCGAAGCTTTGCCATAAGTTTTGCGTTTAGGAATCTGCAATGTTGTTACAGCGCAATTAAAGAAACAATAAGGATACTTCTTAGGCTTTCTGATAATATTAAACCAAGAAGAAGTTAAGGAATTCAATTCCAATCCTATGATCACCTCTCTTATTTCAAATTTCACTTTAGTTGAAGAAAGTATTGTGCCTTTGTGTCACGTCGAATGATTCAATACTGTATTGTATTCTCTACACCTATTCTGATAGTATGATAAATGAGTATGGAGTTATTTTCAAAATCCTCAGCTAAAATCATACTTTGTGTTGAAAAAACATAACATTTTTCTTTAGTTTCAAGTATTCGTCATATATGGAATCAAACTTAAGAAAATATATTTTTTAATTAGAGGAAACATATTTTTTAAGATTACTTTTATGAATATATAGTGTCAAAACCTGTTCAATAAAATATAAAATTGCCCAAAGACTATTAGCTTTAGAGATGGATTTTCCAATAAAAAGGCTACGGCTTCTATCTAATAGCTCTATTAGAAAATATATTGGGCAGGAAAAATATTTTATATAATTTCGAAAGTGGGTGGCTTAAATGGTTTGGACTGCATGAGATATGGCCAACACAATTTTTTCTATACTAACCAGAGTATAGGAAGAAGAAGGGACGGACAAGGAACATTTAGATGGTAAATGTAAAAGAAGTTATGTAAAAGAATGTTTCAATAGAAGGACGCGGTGAGAGAAAGCTCTGAAATTCGGAATACAATAATTATACAAAACTGAAATAATAATGAACTTTTATTTATTTATTTGATTTTACTAATTTTTTTTTCTGTCCTCCCCTTCCTCCCCTTTAAGGCTATACGGGGTTTTCCCGGGCCAGGGAGTGTGGGCGGGGATTTAAAAACTCCTCCGGGCACCGGAACGCGAACTCGTGACTATTTTTTTAATCAAATCTCATGTATCAGGTTGCCGGGCAACGACGGTGCAGTGCACACGCGTTAGCCCATTCGGCCACCCCGCCCACATTGATTTTACTAATGGAGATTTACAGAGTGTCTAACAGCAAATATCTTTTTTCCGTTCATTTCTCCTAAAATTGATGTCTTGAGGAATGAATTCAGTCCCTCCAGAAATGACGTAGGAGAAACCCCTAAATAACAGGACAATATAATGTTCACTGAACAAATTATTGCGACATTAATAATGAATATATAACGGAGGACTCATAAAGACTTGAAAATGGCCCTTAGTATGGTCGAAACGTCGTAATTAATAGCTTATCAATAAAATGTTGGTGAATATTGGCCTAATTTATGTAACAAATCTCTTTATTTTATTTTCTATTGACTTTCCAGACTTTCAGATCACTAGCCGCCAGTATCATCCTTCCTCACTCTACTTATCTCGTGCTATTTCTTTCCAGTTTTCAGCATAAACATCAGCAGCATCTTTGTTCATTTCATTTACCCTTCTAGATTTTAGCTTCTCATGTTGACCAACTGTTGTTGAATTTATTGTTGTGTATAGGCTTCCTGCTGGACTGTTTCGAACTAAATGCATTAATACTGCCATCCCAAATCACTCCGTTTATCATCCACACTTTTATCTCAAATCATTCAAATCTTCTTTATTATAATGCTTATTGTCGCAGACTGTCACCACGGGGGAATGGATTATAAGCTATAATAATTATATTATATTTAATACAATATAAAATACTTATTTTTGCTGAGGGAGAGGTGAGAAGAATGAAATTTTTCCTTAAAGAAGGTTTTATTATTATTATTATTTTTACTTTCTTGGCCCTTTGAAACGTTTTCCCTTTGAGCTTTATAATGATTGTATTTTTCTAAAAAAAAAATGTTGTACTGCACAGAGTGCATTTTAAGAATGAATTTATGTGAGAATAGAAATTTCTTAAAAAGAATGATGTAATAAGAACCTTTTTTTCTAGCAATCATGTTTATGACAATAAGTATTTCTATCTTATTCATGCCATATTGAATGGAGAAAAAACGTTTAACAAAATAACAAATAAATTCTTGAATAATTTATATGTATATGCTATTACATTATTCAATATATTAAAATATGTATGCAATATTTATTTGTGTGCAAGCTTATTATGAAGGAATGAATATCTATTGTTTAGATGCCCCCAAAAGAATTCTTGATAATGTTTTTTGTAATTTTTTTTTAATTATTTAAATAATATTTGTATGTATCTTATAATAGTATAGGTTAAATTAAAATAACACGAAAATATGATTTATTATTTTATAATGTAAATTTTTCATGATATTGTACAACCAGAGATAAGATATCTTATTGTATTAATTTAAACATTACCATCAGCACGAAATATAACCAAATAACGTAATTATAATTCTTATTGTCTTGTTTGATCATAAATCTGCCACGAACTGGCTCTACGTGATCGCCGTCACAGGTTAATTTTTTTTTATTGATGAGAAATATTTTTCACAACTGAATGTCATGAAATTAGCAAAAAATTAATTAATTATCAAATTATTAACATATGAATAGTTTTAAAATATTAGTTATCACTAAATGAACTATTTGGGCTCTAAATATATCTATTCTTAAGCTTTAGTTAACATCATTATAATGACTTTAATATTATTCATTAAAAAAAAGGAATGAAATCAATTAATTATGTAAAGTATATGGTTTTGAATACAATTAATTGCAATGCAATAGGAGGAGAACAGAGAGAAAGTTAAAAAATTTCTTTATATTGCCAATGATCACTTACATGTATTGGTGACACATAAATATGGAAATTTTATGTTCATTGTATTGCAAATACTTGCAAATTATGAGATACTTCTCAAATGATGATGGCACAGCCTCTGAATATAATTGTGGTTAGGATTAAAGGACTTCGATAACGAAATTCTATATTCAGCATACAATCAGGCAACTTTTCTTTTCGAATGCAAATTGAATCTTAACATAAACATAACAGAATTAATTAATATTGATAAATAATTATTTTTCTTGTTTTGTTTTTTATCATTTGTCTATTGTTATATCAACTCCAATAAGCTGAAAAGCCCGACAAGTTGAATTTTATCCTTCAGTGGGTAAGAAACTTTAAAAAGATTCTTATTTTTCAGATCAAAGTTAGTACTTTTAAAAACCTTTGCTTGTATTACACCCAGCTGATCCATTGAAAAACTGATTTGTTTGAGGATTTTAAAATGACTTCTTAAGTGAGTTTTCGTTGTCAATTTGTGTCGTATCTATATTACTTATTCCCTAGCAAATTTTGCGACCAAAAACCTATTGTTTATTTCCTTAATTTCACAAAACAAAATTAATAAATATATATATGTTTTTAGAAATCTCATTTATTTTAGGCTTTTTGACTACTTTAAGATTTTATTATTCATATCGTAGGCAGTCAAATGGCTATAAATTGTACGTTGGTTATACTGATAGAGAAACACTGATATTAAATAAAAGGCAATAGATAGATGCCTTTTTAATTCTTAAGTAATTTCTTGTTAGTTTTCAAGTGATTCCTTATTAATTTTATTTTATTTTGGTATGCACTTGAGTTCTTATTTCAAATAACGTCTCAGATTTATGTTTCATAAAAAAAAAATTTTAAAAATGTCCAGCAGACGTTGCATATTCCTTTATTGATTCCACATCGTTGTAAATAAAAATAAAGCTCCTTGCTAAAATTAAAAGAAAGAAAAAGTCTGAGAGTAAAGTATTTGGAACATTTATCCTTTTTTTTTTTAAATAATAATCACATTTTTATAAATTTTAAACGGTTCCTTGGAAAATGCACTTAATGAACGGAAATGTGTACAGGGCTTGGGAATGGAAAAAAACTTTTATTTTTAAAAAGTTTCGGTATCATCGGAATTTCAATTGTTCTTTTCAATAAACTTATCAAGTAAAGGTTTTACAGAAATTTTATTTAAAAGTTATTTTTATTTTGCTAACATGTCCAACAAATTTAGGAAAATTATAACACTAATTTTAGCCCAATTACTGTTTATTTTTCAATTAATGGAACTTTTTTTATGAAATAATAAATAAAACCTCAACTTTTATCAAAAACCTAAAAAGTTTTGTTAAAAATATTATTTTAAGAATTTTTTCTAAAAAGTTTCACAGAAACCGTTAAAATAAAACTTTCAATAGAAACTATTGAAACGGATTTTTTTCGGCAGCTCATACCGGTGCGTTGCGATGGTATTGAAGTCAATAGCTTAACCATCAAAATGAAAATTTTACAAGAGAAGAAAAAACAATTTTAAACATTCTTTTAATGATTTTCCTTGTTATTTTTCTGTGACAAAACTATTTAGTTCGCGCCTCTTGTCCCGAAACTTAAAAATTAGAATCTATAAAACAATTATCTTGCCAACAGTTCTTTATGGGTGCGAAACTTGGCCGCTTACATTAAGGGATGAGCAGCGTCTTAAGGTTTTTGAAAATAAAGTATTGCGTAGAATATTCGGACCGAAGAAGGATGAGTTAACCGGAGAGTTCAGACGGTTACACAACGCCGAATTGCGTGAACTGTATCCGAGTAATATAATTGAGATAATTTCATCGCGGCGAATCAAATGGGCTTGTAAAGTTGTTGGACTTAGTAACGAGAGAATTCCTAAATGGTTAATATTTGCTGTGCCGAATGGTAAGCGTCCGAGGGGTAGACCGAAGCGAAGGTGGGAAGATTGCATTAAAGCATTAAAGGAATATTAATGCTGAAGGGACTGGGTTTTGACGGTGAACGGTGGAGGGAGGTGTGTAATAAGCGATGGGTGGTGTCGGCATCGAACCTTCGGGTTCGCTAAGCCTTTTTATTATTATTATTATTTTAATGGTTTTCACTAATTATAATTTATTTACTGTGATAATGCTTGCAGAGCCACCGCCTTAAATGATCACATTTTTGCTGTGAAACAGAAGAAACGGTACAAATATTTTAAAAAATCATTTTGACTATTTTATTTTTATTTATATTATATTTATAATATGTTATAGTTTATACGTATTTCATGTTATATCTACCGACTTAAATCTAAAAAAATACATGTAGTAATGCGTCTTAACTGTAAATTGAAATTCTTTCTGAACTGATTACTTTTATTGTAACTTAAATAAAAACTTTTTATTTTATTTTAATTGACAGAAATATAAATATTCGAACTATGGTCAATATAATTTACGTAATCTATATTCGTTCCAGTAGAGATCTTTACGTCTTTAGAATGAATGATATGCATTTAACTGAGTTGCTACCGAAGGAATATTAATGCTTCGTTGCAGTTCTTCGAGGTTGTCAGTCATTGGAACAGGTGAGACTGTAGAAGTGAAATATGCCACGACGATTCACAACATAGTTCAATATCGATAGAAAAATACAAGATACAAAATATATAATAAACGAAAATCTGTTTATTAATAGAATAGAACATAGCTCAATGAAAACGATTCAGTATCAACATAGTGATTTAAATGACCATTAAATTATATTAACTTACTATCTAAGTGAGTAAGGTGCTCTGACCTTATTCTCTTAGTCCTAGGTTAGAGTCAGGCTTTTAGTTGTTGATTATTTGCTACAACACCCGTGAAGATTCTTCTGGAGCACACCCAGTTTATGCAATATTCGTAATTAATTTAATGATTTGAAAAAACTCGAGGACTAATCTTGGCCCTGGCCAAATCACTCCCCTGTACGATCGTCCTAGAAACAGAATTTCTTTACCAAGTAATCAACCCAAGACCATTCATGCATTGTAGAAATAAAGATTTTTATTTTTTTATTTTTTTAATAGGCATGATTTTACTAAAAAGGTACGATAGGTTCAATATCAGAAAATTATTACCGCATAAAGCAAAGCAGAAATGAATTTAAAAAAGCTTTGTCCAAATAAACGGTTGGTGGTTTTTAAATTTAATTTCTTTCAAGTAGGGGCTGTTAATGGGTCAGTTTATTTCAAGCGTTGAAGTACTAACAACAGGCTTGTCGCTGTAAATCAATTTGTTGTTTATTATAATAGTTGCTATCTTATTTTTAATTTCCTCTTTGTTAAGGGGGAAAAGGAGCTGTCCATTTTACCTCCTCCCCTTTCCCTCCATCCCAAGCTGCACATAAAAGTAGATAAATAAACACAAACTGTCATCGACGAGATAGGTCTCAAAAGATATATAAATGCATTGAAATGAAGTACTAAATATTTATAGACCTTTTCGCTAAGAAAACGCCCCGTAAAACTAGATAATGGCCAATGGTTGCCGTGAATCTGATTGTATCCCAGTATTTGGTCGTTCTTTCGGTTTAACTGCCTACTCATAAAAAATCTCATCAAAACCGACACCCACAATATTAGCCAAGCCATGCGATTGGAGTCGTTGGAATAGATTGATGAAATTCTAGATCTTCGATAAAAAAGGGTCTTTATGGAACTATAACTTGATGGATTGTTTAACTTGCACTGGTACTCAAGAACTAGTCTAGTGAAGGGGTCATATGGTACATTTTATCAATCCATGAAGGTTACCTCGAGTTTTGTTCCTTG